CACCTGTGCTATTCTTCTAGTTCGTTGTGCTGAATGCAGAGTTTGATTCTGAATCGAATAATATCATTTTCAAGGGGGGGGGGGGGGGGGTTACCTACCAAAAAATGGGGCTCACTCCTAGAAAAACTGGAACCGGAGCCTATTGTTGGAAGTATACGTTGTCCCGATTCGATTGTGTCTTTGTACTATTGTTCTCGATAGATGTGCTGGATGCAGAATTTTATTCTGAACCCAATGGTGTCATTTTCAGGGGGGGGTGGCAGGCAAAAATCGAGGGTTCATGGGAAAAGCTGGTTTTTGGAGGAGGTTTGGGCCGGTATATATTGTCCAGATTCGCCCCCTATTGTCCAGATTCGCTTGCTCACCAGTGCTATTCTTCTAGTTGGTTGTGCTGGATTCAGAATTCGATTCTGAATTGAATGGTGCTATTTTCAGACGGGGTTATCAGGCAAAAAACGAAGGTTCATGGAAAAACACTGGTTTTAGAGGGGATATTCGGCTGTTAGATATTGTCCAGAGTCCCGAACCGATCATGTTTCTGTGCTATAGTTCTAGGTGGTTGTGGCAGATGCCGAATTCGTTGCTAAATAGAGTCGTAAGAGTTTCTGTGCTGGTCATTAGATAAATATTGGTGTTGTTAGGAATAAAGGCGGTAATGGGAAGGTTCTGGAAGGGACGGGCTGGTGCTGTTAGGTGTTCTACATCTCAGCTGACCGAACTTTTATCGAGAATCTGATATTGATTGCCATTTGGATCTGTATGGTGTTTCAGTATAGTTGAGGGTTCTCTGTGGTATTTTTCGCTTTGAGCTGGATGGATTCATGTTGCTTTTTGGGGGTTTCGTCGCATGAGTTTTGGTGGGGAGGGGGCAGATTAAGAGAAGAGCTTCTCAGTGTTTAGTTCGTTCTAGGGACTGTAGCTGGTCAAGTTACGGAAATTTCGAGTTTCTTAGGTGCCCTGACTGATGTGGGTGGGTGGGGGTGTGGGTGTGGGTGTGGGTGGGTGTGGGGGGTGTGGGTGGGTGTGGGGTGTGGGTGTGGGTGTGGGTGAGTGTGGGGGTGTGTGTGGGTGTGGGGTGAGTGTGGGTGTGGGTGTGTGTTACGAGAAGATATCCACACTGACACCGACACCCACACCCTACACCCACCCACACCCACACCCACACCCACACCCACACCCACACCCACACCCACACACTCACACCCACACCCACCCACATCCACACCCCGCCCACACCCACACCCCTAGGAATAGAATAGCCATTCTTTTCATCAATTCAACGTGATTTATTTGAGAAAAAGAAAAAAATAATCAATTGATTGAAGTCTATTTGATAGAGAATTGTTGAACACGATAATTCTGCCAATCGACGACATAGAGATTGCCAACATGATCGAAGGACAAACCCCTGGGCCAACTCAACTGATTTGCTTGTGTTCCGGAGCCATTTCCACCTGCAATAACAGTGCCTTCTGTTGCTCCTCGAGGCCAACGCATCACTCGGTTGTTGCAAGAGTCTGCCACATAGACAGTACCCAACGTATCGACGAAGAGCCCCTGAGGATACGATAATTGCATCAGGTCACTCCCTGGGCCGTGACCCCCAGCGACAACAATCCCTTCTGTTGCACCTTTATCCCATTTCATCACACGATGATTTTTAAAGTCTGACACGTAGACAGCCTGTAGTCGATCGACAAAGAGATAAGTCGGATAGTTGAGTTGATTAAGGTCATGACCTTGGCCATGCCCACCAGCTACGCGAATTGTATTCTTGTTTCCTATTTGATATCGTCGCACTTCATCATTGTCAATGTCAGAGATGTAGAGATATCTCTGGTCGTCCATGGCCAATCCCCCAGGACGGATATTGTTGAAGAGGATCTCTCCTTCAGTTGTGTCACTATGACGAGACCATCGTACAACTCGTTGATTATCTTGATCAGAAATAATGAGACTGTCTGTCTCTTTGTCGATCAGCACATCGGTTGGACAATTCAATTGGTTCAATTGATATCCTGGGCCATGACCACCAGCTACAGCGTGTCCTTTCGTATCAGTCGCCTTCCATTGAGCGATACGATGATTGGAACAATCAGCGATGACAATCATTTGATCATCATCAACGGAGAGGCCGCAAGGGTCGTTAAGTTGATTGAGAGCATCGCCTTTTCCATTGCCTTTTGCAACAGTCACCGCATTCTGTGCCCATCGGGCATTTACTGGAATATTGGGAATCACTACAAAGAACGAGAAAAAGAAAAGAAATTGTCTTCACCATTGTCGTCATCGAAGAGATACCCTCCTGTATCGTGGAAAAAAGTGTTACAAATGAAACATTCTTCTTTGAGAGAATTCGGTAAAATTTTCGAGAATGTCCTTCTCTCACAGACTCGAAACAAGAAAAGGTTCTACAAGCAGATATAGATTGAGAAACCGGTTTCTACTTTTCCATAGCAAAAGAACGTCGTAACGATTATTATAGCAATGTCACTTCACCAAATCTGAATCTTGTTCATTCTTTAAGGATACTAAGTAGGATCTATGAGAATGTGTGTTGACAGAGAATTGTTTAAATTCTTACTAAGATCTCTCAAATCCAAAAAAGTAGCGTTTTCGCGAGAGACGAAAAAAGCACCTGGAGAAAGACTAATGCTAATCCTCTCCAGGACCTCGATAGAAAAACACAGATATCTGAGGATTTGAGTTGTAATCGTGAATGGAGAATCTATGCGAGATTATAAGAAAAAGTGTTAGCACGTTTAAATCTTTCAAGAGTTTAAAGAATAAAATAATGAGCTTTGTCAAACTTCGAAACTGCAGAAACGCTAAGAAAATTGGGTGTGAGTGTGGGTATGGGTATTAAATGAATACTACATCTACACTCACACGCACCCACATCCTACGCATGCGAGAACTATCGACAAGCGAGAAACATTCTTCGAAAAGTGACCATATGATCTGAGAATTTCTCCAATGTACTCAATGGGTCTGAGGAATAGCAGTAATTTTAATCAAATAGTTCAAATTATCAATAATCATGCTAACTTTGAAGGCAATAATCAACAATATCTTACCTCTATTTACTCGAGGGTTGATTGCCATGGTCGATATCTAGAAGTATGAGATAGTTGATGAATATCCATTTTCTCGAACGATTGTTGTCTGACCTGTAGAGTAATGGAGCTGGCTTCAGTGTTTATGGTACTGGTGGCTGCTGCTACAGCCTCAGTTGAAGCATCTGCAATAAAAAATCATCATTCTTTTTGTAATAGCTTTGTCTTGCCATATTAGATAAATTTCAACATTGTTTTCACTTTTTGATGGTTTCTAGTGATTTTTATCACTGGAAACCCTTTTTTTTCAGTTCATCGTGCAGTCCTGTAGTTTAAATTTTATTATTAGAGATTTTCTATGATGTAGAGCAGAGTTGTAACCCGTCTAAAATTTTTAGACCGGTTCGGTCCGGTCGGTCTAAAAAATAATTCCAGACTGGTAAAAACCGGCTAGTTTATGAAGTTTGTTCATAAGATAAAAGTGATATTAGGGGCGAACTTTCATTCTAGATGCTTATAGATTTTTACCTTGAAGAAAACAGCTAATTATTAAAAAGTTTTTATCAATTTTAAAGGAAAATCATCAACGTAACAAAACAGTCAAAATATCACTCATTCGAAAAGGCCGAATCTTGAGCGTTTTGTGCATTGTTTTTTAAGTATTTTCTTATAATTTGAAGGTATAGGTAGAAGTTAATTTTAAAAAAAGATGTTTCGCACATTTAGAGAATGAAGTTTTATTCACTTGATCTTTACCAATAACGTAACGCTTCTCTTTCGACAATGGCTCGAACCTAAATTTGATCTTCACAAAAAATGTATGAGATAAGTTTAACTGAACTGATACAGTTTCGAAAGCATTTTTTTAAAAATAAAGCGCATATCGATTAAACAAATGAGATAGATTGAGAAACAGAAGAAAAAAATGTATGGTTTTTGAAATAAAACAAGTTAATTATTTTGATAAGAGCATAAAAACTTGTTATCAACAAGTTTTTTCTGAAATATCTCCATGTGGTGAAAATTGCTTAAAAATCGGCGATTTATCGCGATTTATCATGCCGATTAATTGTGAGATTATATCGCGATAAAATCGCTTAAAGTAGCGATTTTTACAAGGGGGAAAAAGCAGATTTCAAGATTTCAAGATTCTGAAAGATTCCAAGAGATTTTCAAAGATTTCTAAAGATTTCCAAAGATTTCTAAAGATTTCTAAAGATTTCCAAAGATTTCCAAAGATTTCTAAAGATTTCCAGAGATTTCCAAAGATTTCTAGAGATTTCTAAAGATTTCCAGAGATTTTAAAACACTGTAATTTAAGAA